CACACTTCACAAATATTAAAACTACTCGAAATCATCAATCAAATTCGTAAGACAATCATCACCATGCTTCTAATTTCAAGTTCTAAATCTGAGATTAGAAGGAACATAATCACCATAACAAAACATCAAGCCACAACAATTAACACCATAAGCATAACAACTATAATACTAATAATCTCCAGAAATATCATTTGGAAGTTATTAATCAGCCAAATGTTCTCAAGGTCCCAATTTTATTTATATTTTTTTTTTCTCATTTTTGGTTTATGGAAGAATTACAAAATTGTTCATAAATCACAGAGTTTTGAACTTTATATAGAGTATCAAAGTACGAAAAAACCAGTGTCCGGCCGAAGTTTTTAAATTAAACAGAAATAAGGTGAAAAGGGGTGCAAAGCAACTGAACTCTTGAGGTCTCGGTTTTAAATTCCCAAGCCCGTCATCTTACAGATGGGGCACAGATTCTTGACCGTGAGCCATTGTTTGATGCAGCCCGAGTGAAACTCGTGCCCACAATCCAATATCCCGATATCGTCCCCAGTGATGTAATCCTCCTAGTTAAACAAAACGAGAAATTTCAAGTTTGGTAAGGAAAAACACGATTGATGTGCAAAATGGTGCTTATTATGAGCATAAGACGTCATAATTCATTAAGTAATATTATCTTTGCTTTGAGTAATAGTAATAAAATACCCCTTGGCATATGCATATGGCAAAAAATGCATTTTTAGTCCTGTTGGTTTAATGCCATAGAAATTTTAGTCCTAAGATTCCAACTTTTCGCTTTTTGGTCATCTGATTTAATATTATGCTACAATTTCAGTCATTTAGGACTGAAATTGCAATAAAAGTTTAAATTTTACAAGATTAAATTGCTAACCAAAAAATCCATCCCAAATATATGTAAATTGGGAATTTGTTGCAATCTGAGGACTGAAATTGCAGCAGAATATTAAATTACACACCAAAAGGAGAACAAAATGTTACAATCTTGGGACTAAAATTGCTATGGCTATAACCAACAGGACTAAAAATGAAATTTAGCTCATAATGAACACACAATTCTATATTTTTAAAATTAGACTAATAAACAAACATGTAATGGTCAAAGCTTAACAAGAAATAAAATGGCATTTTTATTAACCTGGCAAACACAACATGGCTCCAAGTTTGACAAGACACCAATCGAGTTGAATTTCCTTTGTTTCATAGTGCCCGTAATTCGTTCCTCAGTCAATCCAGTGCTCACATTTCCTATTCGTTCCTCCAAAGCCAGTAATTCCTATCACACATCACAAATTTCGACAAAATATAATAAACAGTTTTCTTTTTCATTCGTGTAAGACTGGAAAAATGTGTGTATTTTAATCTAAAGTGTATACCTCATATGACATATTGTCAACATCAAGCCTCATATCTCTGTGTCTATCGTGCAACTCGGCAAATCCACTTATAAAAGGGTCAGCGAGCATATAATCCTGAAAGGACACGTTTTGACATGTTTTTTTGGTTTTATAGTAAATTGAGAATTGTAAAACCTGAATAGCTGCATACACAGTCGAGCTTTTCAGAATTTAGTTAACTACCAATCATTATTTTACTATTTTCCTATCACATCACAATTAATTGTTATTTTTTATAAAAATTAAAATAAAATAAATGAATAGAATAAAATTGAGTTGGATACACATCAAATTGCACCCCTTATGTTTTAAGCTGATTTTTCTTTCTTGAAAATACAAATGTGAGCTGGGCTGGCTAAGTCCGACTTTCAGCTAGCACAATTTCCAGAACACATGACAAAATGAAGTGTTAATATTTGTGTAAGGCCATTCTCTAAGAATTTAAAAGATCATCTAATTATTTGAGAGAGAATGAGAAGGAAGAACTTACTACCTTGGTACAATGTAAACGATGGAACTGTGCCAGCTGCCAGCTAAAGCCAAGCATACAAATCTAAGTGTGTGTTTAGTAAGAGCTTAAATTTAGCTCATGGCTTTAAAAATGGCTCTAATTTTCCTTCTGGTACTGTTTTGGAAAACTATCACACACATCGCAACTCATTTCATAAAAAGCTTTCAGCTGGCAGTTTTATAAGTTTTTCTTCTTTCGCCTAGTTTTTATCAAGAAAAATAAAAAAATTATGAAATTAATGAACAAACAAACCTCAGCCTGTAAGTGGACACCCCTACGCATGGCACTCAGCACTTGACGAATCTGTTTCAAGGGAAGTGAAAGGAAAACCATGAAATTTCTATAATCAATGAAAGCTTCATTTTTCTCTCCAAATAATGCAAAAAAAAAAAATTTAAAAAAATAAAAATAAAAATAAAAAATAAAAAAATAAATCTTGAATGCTTCACCCCGAATTACACCGTTAGATCAGTAATCTTCCTACACCACTCAAAACCATTGCTCATGCATAATTAATCAAAGGTGACAAATAATTTTATGCATCTCAACCTTTTTTTGAGCTTCTATGCAAAAGTCGTAATCTTATTGCAAGGAAGCTCCCCAAACTCGACAGGGTAGCAAAAACAGTGCATTTGAGAAAATTTACATGCCCAGAATATTTATTCCTTTTTCTTTATTATGCATGTGATGTCACTGTAAATAAAACCTTTTAACACAATTCTACAGAAGACCAAGATATCAAGTTCCTAAATTTCCAATCACATTTCTAGCAAAAGCATTTCTTGTTAATGGTACCAAATCCTGAATATTGATTTAGACTCTACATTTGCACGAAAAAATCTTAATTTTTAAACATTAAAAAACTAAATTAAAAAAACAACAACATACCAGCCTATGCCTGCTCTCTACAGCCGCTATCGAGCGCCACCCGCTGACATCATCACCAGTCACATCCATCAAAAACCCCGTCGACCTCTGATCCAATTGATTTCGCGAACGGATGCTGCTGCTGGGGCCCGCCTCATCCGAATGAGAACCCAAATGCGGGACAAAGTGACCCCTCCTAATCCCGGAGGATTCACTTTCACCACGATGATAAGGCGCCCACGTGGCAGTCTCGGGCCACCTCTGATGATTTTGAGATGGCGGGCTCGGATGAGGAGCCACATAAGCAGATGACGAGGCCCGATTGCCTCCAGAACCCTGGCAGGCCCGCAAGCCCAACGAGTGATTTCTTGAAGACAACGAATTCCCGGGCACAAAACTCCAATCCACTTGATCTTGCGAGGCCGAGGCATTTCGAGGGTACTCAACATTATTATTATTATTATTAGTTCTTCGATAAGTCCTCACACTGATTTCTTCACGGGCCCGAGCTCTAGAGCCCGAAGGCCCGTTCCAAACTGGGTAAGGATGTGCTCCTCCTCTGGTAGACTCGTTTGGGCTTAAGGGCGCGTTTGGGCTCATTGTAATTGTCACGGGTGATCTCGACTCGGGGGAATAAGCACTGAGGTTGTTCCTTGAAGAAGTGATTCTTGAATTATCGAATAGAATCGGCTCACGAAGTGCAAGATTCGATCTTGAAGCGAAATTTCTAGCCGGGCTTTCGGTTAAACCGCCACTAGAGGATGAGAAAAAACCAGTGCTGGGATTATTATTATTATTAACCTGTTCTTGGTTATTATTAGCTGGAGAAGGCAAGTCGAGCGGAGCAGATGATATTATGCTTAAATTTCCTCGAGAAGGGTAATTATCGGGAAAAGGGTTCTGCCCGTTAGAGCTCGAACTTCCACTAGAGGTACCCTCGAGAGCCTTTCTCTTGCAAGACGAACCCCAAGAACCGAAAGGCGGGCCCAACGGGCCTGATGCTTCATCATTGTCTACTGAAGCACTCGAGCCGCCGCCCATAAGAGCTCCTAAATTACTCGAAGAAGCGTAAAATGTGGGAGTTCGGTCGATTTCCGAGCAATCTGACTTGTAAAAACGATGAGTCTCCCTTTCGTACCCGTCATTAGAGTTCAAATTGAGGCCGACAGGGGCAGAGTTGTAATTTTGCATGCTAGCAGCAGGCCTGCTGGAAGAAGATGGCCTGAAAGACCAGTTATCTGAAGTTGGGTCGGGTAAAGGGCATGAATCGAAAAGATTAGACCACCCAGGGCTCGTTTTGGAATCGGCTCTATCATGTGTGCTGGAGCTGGATTCTCCACGGTCCCAGCCACTGAAATTGTGACAGGTGTCACTAGTGGCGTTCGTGCAAGTGACGTTTAGGTCCGTGGTGGACCCGAGCATGTAATTCGAGAGTCTATTTTCGACGGGGCTCAGCATGTTGTCCCAAGAAGACGAGCGGTGGTCCATAGAGGTGGTGCTGTTGGGAACAGAGCCTTGGTTCAAATCGATTGGTTCGGGAAAGGAATTGAAGGCACCCCTTTCACGTTGCATTTTCTGTAATTATATAATGGAAAAAAAAAATAGAAAAGAAAAAAGACAGACAGAAAGAAAGAAAATGCTATGGGCAAAAGTACAACAGTTTCAGGAGGATCTGCAGATAAACAAAGAAAGCAGAGTCAATTCAAGTCTATAAGATAAGTTTGTGAATGTGTTAACTGTTAAGATATGCAAAAGAACTGCAACTTGCACATATTAAACGGGTTTTATGCAAATATTTGCTTCAGGCTTTTAAATTGCAGTTAAAGATTGCAACTTTACAAGTCTTTGGTCTTTTGAGATAAGTTTGTGATGTGTTAAGATATGCAAAAGAACTGCAACTTGCACATACTAAACGGGTTTTATGCAAATATTTGCTTCAGGCTTTTAAATTGCCGTTAAAGATTGCAACTATACAAGTCTTTGGTCTTTGAGATAAGTTTGTGAATGTGTTGAGGTAACTGATCGATTTGCTTAATCGACTAACAAATGAAGTGTGAATACAGCATCACTGCCGCAGACTTGCAATGTAGTTCTAGAAATTCATGATTGTGCTAAAAAAGACTCCACAACCAATTGATACTAGAAAACATAGGGGTTGCTATACAACCAATTGAACTACTGTGAATGCAATTTACAACCTCCGGCAGACAAGGAAACAAAACATGAAAGAAGAGAGAAAGCCGTATACTTTTCTTCTTTGTTATATATTGCACATTATTGAGATAATACTGAGTCACACTGGATATTATTTCAGAAAATATTTGCAATCCTTCACCTTCAGTTTAGCAAGAATAATGAGAATCAAAACACATATAAAAAAAAAAAGATTAAATAAAAACCCATACAGCAGAAAAGGAGCTTAGTATAGCTAAACATGAACAATAAAAAGATCCTAACTTTGCAAAATATGATCAAAATTAACTATTTACACAAATGAGCTTGTCCAAAAATAATACACTACAAAAATTACATTTTGAAAGCATCCATAAGTCGGGCAACAAGCTCTAAATGGTACAAAATCCATCACCAAATCAAAAGGCTTTTTTCTATTATTTTTAGGACAAAAAAAAAACATTATTCTTTTACTGTAAGTGAAATAAAATGACAGGGCAGCTTATATACACCACAAATCGCAGATCCCCTTTAGAAATTTTCGATCTCAATCACATCAAAAATTAAAATGAAAAACGCAAAAAGGATAATAACAACCAAAACAAGAAATAAAGGTAAAATTATAAAATGGGCCAAGAACCAAAACCTTGGAATGAAACAAGACGATCGACGGAGTAAGCGATCTGATAATTGAGTTTAACTCTCTCTAATTCCTTCTCATTCACACCTTTTTTTTTTCTTCTCTTTCTGAGGTTAATACAGATGATAAAAACACAGTGGGTCAATGAGAGTAAGGTGGGTTTCACATAAATCCGACAAATTTTTATAATCCTACAGAGTAACACTCAAAGATTGGATTTTTCTTCGTGAAAATAAAAAAAAAAAAATGGAAAGGGAATTATCGAGTATTTGCTGTTTCTTGAAGGCGAGACGACGGTTTTAGAGAGAGAGAAGACAAAGCAGAAAGGGTTGCTCAGACTACACAAGTTTTTCTTCTTTTTTTTATGGATGAAAGAGAATTTGTGAGTGGATTTGCGCTCGGACCAAAACACACACTCACACACGTTATAGTGACTCTCTTTCTTTCCCCTCAGTTGTGTGTGAGAGAGAGAGAGGGGAGAGAGGGAGAGAGAGAGAAAGAGTGGCTTGAGCTAATTGTGGAGTTTTGTTGTTTGTGCTTTATTATATTGTTGTTAATTAAAGAGGATTATTGTTTTACTTGTGGGTGATTAAAATATCTTGGCCAAAGGTTAAAAATTAAAATGCTTTTGTTAGCTTAAGAAGATGGGAAATTGGGAATTGGACGTGTTCAAAGTCAAACTTTGTCTAATTCGTATTGGTTTTGTTGAGCTATATTATGAGGCTGTTGAGTATAAAAACTTTTGGAAAAAATTGTTTTGTTAGAAGTGTAGATGAAAAGCTCATAAAATTGAATTGTTTTAGAAAAAATATGGCTAGATAGTCATAATTTTTAAATTTTTTAATAAATAAAAAATAAAAATACAATGGTTAAAATTTGTAAGATATTAAAATAATTAAATATCTAAAGATTAGTAGTTTTATATGTAAATGACTGGATTTTTTATTTTTAGAATGTACATAATAATAGTTAACTTTTTTATTGTGTTTGTGAGATAGTGGATAAAATAAGATGGTATTTTTGGTAAAAGTGTTTTATTTTATATTTAATTTCGATTAAAAAATTATATGACCAAACAAAAATGACAATTTTTTTATTGAGTCCTCATCAAAAGTTTTGGGCTTTAAAATAATCTTGATTTGTAAGATATTTTTAGTTATATATATATATATATAGGTATTCATTAATAAAAAATTACTCATGGACACATTAAAATGTGTCGGATTAATCTAACATATAATCTATTACTCCAATATTTTGTTGCATCAATTGGTAAAAATATTAACTTGTGTCCATCATGGACAAAAAATCTAGACACTATTCATTAATATATTTTTATAGAGATATATTATTATGAAAGATATATCCTTTACATTAATATTACAACTACAGATGTTTTCATGATTAAACAAATAGGGAAGGAAAATAAATTGACAATTGGACTCTATTTTAGCAAATGTCATCAGAAGTGTTCTAATTCTGACCCAGACATACATTTCAAATGGACTTCATAGATGGAAACAAGAATATGCGTTCTTTCTTTTTCTAGTTCAGCCTTTAGCCCGATACTCTTTGTGGAACTAAATGTGATACCCTTTAGCCTCTGCTTAAGTTATCGGCCCAATACTACTATTGGGCCCATCAAAGTGTTTGGGAAATGGATTACAAATACCATTTCACAAAATGCAGTTCACTAGATGAGATATTTTTCATCATTCATATTATCTTCACAATATATATATTGAAACAGAAAAAGAAAAAGTGGAATATTTCTACCTTCTGATTCAAATATATCTAGGCTGATTAAATTCAGTGCAATTACATTTCCAAAATGTGTCATCTTTAAGGGGAAAAAGAAAAACTCCATCAAAACAAAATAAGAAAATATTTAGAAACAAAAAAGATCAAAATAAATAAAAACATATTCGGCAACCGAAAAGAGCAGTGGTGGGTTGATATATGCAGAAAGAACTTAAACTTGCACATATTAAACAAGTTCTACGCAAAAAAAATAAAAAATAAAAATCACTCAAGGTTCTCAAATTGTCCTCAAATGTTTCTTTTTTTTTTTTCCCAAGGCAAACAAATAAAATTATATAACTCAATGATAAGAGTACATAGGGAAACCAAATGACTACTACACGTTAGTGCGATAAACTCATACCAAAACTCAAATTTCACTCAACTCCACTATCTCCAATATCATCAATATAATTAAATAATACTACCTCTTTTTTTTTTTAAATGTCGTTTTAAGTTTATCAACAATTAACCAATAAATGATGTTTTAGATCTTTTGTACATATTTTTACATTATTACTATCATCTAGTTAATAAATACACTACATCTTTCTATATTTACTCTTCATCTTTTCTCAAAACATCCATCTCTATCTTCTTCTTTTTTTTTCCAAAACGATAGGTTTTATACTCCAAACATTTTGTACAAGAGGGGAGCTAAATAGCCCAATACACAACTACAAAGCTGAAAGAGAGGGACATAGACATGTCCTAGAAAAATACCAACCACAGTTAAGTCCAAATCCTTGGCAAATGCAGAGCTTTGTGACCAAGGATATGTTCTTAACTGCCTGGCACAAAAATTAAAAGGAACTAGACCACTGACCATAGCCCTAGTCTAGTTCATCTACAACAACACTGTCTCTGAATAAACAACATAAACAACTAACCAAAAGCCTACCCAACAAAGCAGAAAATATAAAAAAAAAATCACAAACTATAAAGAAACCTAGCTAATGGTCACATGGCAGACTTTGCACTTGGTTATACTCCATCCATTCTTCAATTGCAATATTCACTACTGCATGCTCTGATCTCCAAAGATTTTGAAACTCCCACATGTTCCTTGCTTTCCAAACCCACCAAAGGAGGTAAGCTCTGAGTTGGATTATTGCTTCATTGATGGCTGAGTGAGGTATAGAGCACATTTTAGTCCACCAGTGAGAGAAACTGTCTGTAAGATTCTCAAGGCCATCCCATTTAACAGGTGCAAGCTCCCATATCTTTGTGGCTTTGGTGCATGTGAAAAATAAGTGTTGAACTGTTTCAGCTTCCTTACCACAAATGCTACATCTGGCATCCCAGCTCACTCCTCTCTTAGCTATGCATGTGTTGACAGGAAGAATGTTGTTGACACATTTCCAACGGAAGTGCTTCATTTTTCCTTTGATTTTCAGCCTCCATAGTCTGCTTCTCATCATTTCCATCTCTGCATGTCCTTTGCTTGGTTCTGCTATATCCAGTTGCTTCCATTTTTCCTTCACCAAGTAATCATATGAAGCTGCCACTGAGTGTTTCTCTTTTTTCCCACAGTGCCACACTAGTCTGTCCTCTTCTCCCGGGTTGAGACTTTTGATTTTGAGAATAGCAGCTTGCTCTTGTTCAGTGAATATGTCCTGAAGGATATGCATTTTCCAGTGCCTGCCAGTGACATCTATTAGGTCACTGACTTTTAGAATTTCAGAGTTTGGTTGTGGTCTGCTCACTGGTTTGAAACCAGGCAGCTCTAGGATCCATGGATGCTCATATATGTTAATTTAGCTCCATTCTTTACCTCAAATCTTAGGCCCATGCTGAAGGAGTCTCTGACTTTAAGCCAGTTGTGCCAAAGCCAAGATCCTGTGTGCTTCTGCTTTACATTGAAGAAATTGTCCTTAGGAAAGTATTTTGCCTTCAATCATTTGCTGACCAACAAGTTTGGTTGAGGGAGCATTCTCCACAGCTGCTTAGTGATCAAGGCCTTGTTCATGAGCTGTATATCATGGAAACCAATTCCTCCTTTGTCCTTGGGCAAAGTCATCAGTTTCCAAGCTCTCCAATGAATTTTTTTGCCTTCATTGTTACATGTGTTCCACCAAAAGGCAGCAAAAAGTCTGGCAATGTTTGCATACACAGTTTTAGGGATAAGGAAGCAAGAGATAGAGTATACTGAAAGTGCATTGAGCATTGCTGTGACCAGAATTTCTTTCCCCGCAGTAGAAAGAAATTTGTTTTTCCAATTCAAAATCTTTTTTTCAACAGCTGCTGTTATAAAGGAAAAGTCCCAACTTTGTTGCTACCAATACCAAGAGGCAGGCCAAGGTATCTAAAAGAGTTTTGAGGGGTGATGCCAAGGAGGATGTTGCAAATGGAGGTTTTCAGGGAAGGGGATGAGTTTCTGCTGAAGAAAATTGATGATTTAGAGAGGTTCACTTTTTGGCCAGTTATTGATTGGTAAGCAACAAGAATATTAAGAATGGAGTGTGCTTGTGAGGGTTCAACTTGGGCAAAGAGCAGAGTGTCATCTGCAAAAAACATGTGAGAGAGCTGTGGCCCATTTTTAGAAAGTTGAATCCCATGAAGGTTGCCATTTTGTGTTTCCAGTTTGATCAAACTGGAGAAAATCTCATACACTAGAATGAAGACATAAAGGGACAGTGGGTCCCCTTGTCTTATGCCCCTTGAGGGAGTAACATAGACACACACCTCTCCATTGACATTAAAAGAGAATGAAGCAGAAGAGATGCAAGAAATAATCCAGTTCACAAATTTTGTGCAAAATCCAAGCTTCAGCATTGTAAGACTCACACTCTTCCACTCTATTCTGTCAAATGCTTTTTCCATATCTAGTTTTAGAGCCATATAGGATTTGTGACCAGTTCTATGTCTGTTTAAGAAATGAATGACCTCATGCCCCAGAATAACATTATCAACGATTTGCCTATTTGGCACCAAGGCAGCCTGGTTATCAGATATACAAAGGGGAAGGCAAGGTTTTAGTCTTTGAGCTAACAGTTTAGAAATGACCTTGTAGGTGACACTACAGAGACTTATAGGCATATAATGGGAGACTTGTTCAGGGCTTTGAATTTTAGGAATGAGAGTAATCAATGTGTGGTTGATGCTTTTGAGTAATTTACCAGAGTTGAAAAAGCTTCTAACTACACAACAAAGTTCAGTGCCAATCAAATACCAAAATTTTTGGAAAAAAAAAGATGTCATACCATCAAGCCCAGGGGCTTTCCTTGGATTGATGCTAAATAATGCAGCCTTGATTTCTTCATCTCCAATAGGGTTGTGAGCACAGAGTTTATGTCTTCTGAGATAACTGGGTTTATATCCTGCAGCAGCCTCTCACCATCATCAGAGCCCTTTGAGCTGAAAATCTTCTTATAAAAAGCTCTATGCATTTTTCAACTTGGTCTTTGCTGTCACATATGAGGCCATCTTCATTAATGAGAGTTATTATTAGTAAAAAAAAATTATTAATTAATGTGCAACTTCGTAAAACGACACTTATAACAAAAAGGAGAGAGTATCAACCAATCATTCTTACACATCACATCAACTTAAATTCACTATTCATCTACTCACATAATTTTAATTAATCATCACTTCCAATCATTTTATCCTACCTTTACATCAAATCAACTTTAATTATTTTATTTTAAATATTATTTTAATATATCTACTAACAACTAACTATAGCACCTTTTTTCAAACTTAACTATAGTTAAAAAAAAAAACTAATTTTTTACTAGTTGAATTTATATCAAATCATCCTCTAAGGAACTAAAAGAATGAAGTGAGACATAAAGTCAATGGCCCTGACAAGAAATGAAGTTTTAGAAATTTATGATTGCGCCATAGATTCAACGATCGATTAGTATTAGAATACATGTGTGTTGCAATATAGTTTAAGGTTATGTACATTGAACAAATATGAATTCATAAAAGAGCATAAGGCATAAAACTTTGATTCTATCCAATTTGATTGTGTGCATGTTTTGGAGCAATAATTGAGAATGAATTATGAAATGTAAAATTTTACAAGGAGTCCGTGAGTGTGCACAATTGCGCAAAACACATTAGAAAGTAGAAAGGCTTCTTTGTGATACGGTAAAAAAAAAGGGTTATTTTGACTCATCGTTTATAAGTGTATAGGAATAGGAGTGCGTGATGCAGGATTCAAATACCTCAATTTAGGATTGTACTCACTTAGAACTTTGAATGACATGAGATTTTTTATTTTAGATTTGAGTTTTTTTTAGATATTTTGATTTAACGTAACCTAAATCTTTAGAAATCTCATGTAGGAATTTGGTGTAAAATTTAGTACATATATTTTATCTTTGAAATACGAGTAAGTCTTAAAAATTAAAGATAAATCCAAGTGATAAATAAATTATATACCTTATGATTCTTTTTTTTTTTTAATTTTTAAATTTTAAATTAATACCTCATGACATTTTAATATATTCTTTTTAAATCTCAAATGAAAATCTCAAAAGATTTAACAAATTTAAAAAAAGTTCAAGTTAAATACACCACGATTTTTAAATTCATAAAAGGATCTTTAAAATTTCGAAATGTACACTCCCTTGAGACTCATCTTCGACTCAATCTCCTATAGTTGTTAAAAAAAAATATTTTAACATAATGAATGACCAAATAAAGTGGGTGTACAATGATTGCTGATTCTAAAGGTGGTGCGATGTACAAGATAAGAAAATCGTAACAATAGTATTATTAGGTTACAATTTATAATATCATTTATGTCATTGTAGCATGATGCATAAAAAAAAATATTGTGCCAGAGAAAGAAAATGAGATTCTCTTACAAATTTTCGTTCTCAATCTCATCTTACTCGCAATAATTCAAAATTCAAAATAATGAATAGTTGATTAAATAAACTTTCTTGTTCTTGGATATATAATGAAATTTTTATTTTTATATTATTTATTTATTTGACAGAAAATAAGCCTAATTTCGAGATGTAAAACTAAAGGGAAATATTTTTATGGTAAGTTGGTTCGTGGGGTTGGTAAGGAGGTCCCCTCTCAAGTCTTGGTGGATTCCCAACCTTCAACAACCGCAAAGTCTTATGGCCATTGATTTATTTTAATTAACAATATAGTCTAATTCTTGAGTAACCCACTCTTTTTCCACTATTAAATCAAGCATTTGTGACTTATTGGCCAAATAAAGATTTTTTTAGGTCATAGAGTCAAATATATTATTTGGTTTGATATATGTAAGAAAATTCATGTAAAAAAAATATGTTTTATAGAGATTTCACTATTCAAACTAATTTTCATCATTTTTTAAAAGTAATTTCGTAAAACACTTCAATGCTAATTACCCGCTCAGCATAACAAATTGTTGGCATATATAATGGTGAACACAAAATTTTCGAGAGTTCATCTCATTGAGGTTTAAAAATTGTGAATGTCTATATAATTCTTTGAAATACTACTTAGATTAGCTCGATTTATTAAAACTTGAGTTCACTCTTTGATGTTGATAAACAAGTCAATATCAAACTCGTTTATTGCCTAGATTAGTAATGAACCGAGTTTAACTTAACTCAATTAAAACTTGAATATAAGGAGATTAAGCTCGATTGGCTCTATTTACCGTATTATACATAATTTTGTCATTTCACTTTATTAAGTATATATGTTTTTGGAGCAAGCACACCAAAAAATAATTACCAAAATGGCAATACGAAGAAAAAGTACAACGCAAAACATTCCTCCCACCAAATCCTCACCACCTTTTCACCGAACCTCTTTCACACGTGGAAATCACTCATTGGCCATCTTTTCCACCAATAGCCTTCCCCAACAAGCGGCAACCACCACGTTGGCTCGGACCACATACACCGCGAGCAGGAAGTCAGAGCTAGCGCCACAAATCATCCGCATGATTGGGTCCCACCTCAAATTTTCCTGTCCCACATTTCCCCCACTAATTGGGCCCTACTAACCACTGCTGTAGAGTTTCACCAACCCCAAACCGGTTCAGCGACCGGTCCACCATCTTCTTTCAACTATATATATTCATCTCCATTCCACTCCAACTTCAGAAACAAATCCTCAATATTCAGATTTCTATAAAGAGATTCTTTTTTTTTTATTATTTATATAAAAGAGCTCTAAGTTGAGAAAATATGGCACAAAATGGAGAAAATGTGGGACAAAATGGAGAAAATGTGGCACAAAATGGTGAATCGAGACATCAAGAAGTTGGGCACAAGAGCCTTTTGCAGAGTGATGCCCTATACCAGGTAAAAATAAAATTAATATATTTTTTTTCTTATATTAATTTCTGAATTATATTTTATTGCAAGATCAAAATACTTTCAATCTCTACTAAATTTTTGGGGGTCACATATATATGTTTTTATTTAATTTGTAATGATCTGGGATAATCTTCATATTGATGTGATGAATTAAATGGATGATTTTTTTTTTTTATTTTTTTTTTCAAAATTTTCATTTTTATTTTATGTCTGATTAATTAATATTGATTTTTACAGTACATTCTTGAGACTAGCGTTTATCCAAGAGAGCCAGAGCCCATGAAGGAGCTCAGAGAAATCACAGCCAAGCATCCATGGTCGGTTTGAATTTCAACAGTCTGAAATATTTTTTTTCTAATAAAAGAATAATAATACTGAATAAATTGCTCATGATGTATATATGCAAATTAATTATTTTTTTATGTTTAAATTATGTTATTTATTAATGGAAAATAGGAATATTATGACGACATCTGCTGACGAAGGGCAATTCTTGAACATGCTCTTGAAACTCATCAATGCAAAGAATACAATGGAGATTGGGGTTTACACAGGCTACTCTCTTTTGGCAACTGCACTTGCTCTTCCTGATGATGGAAAAGTAGGCTCAATAATTTTCAATTTTTTTTTTGGGTTTTTTGCAATTACTTTTTTTTAATAAATATGCTTTGAAAATTTGAAATTTGGAGGTACCCTTTTTAAAGTGCAGTAAAAACATGTTCATATTTGCGAAAATGTCCTTAAATGTGAAATCGACAAAGTGTACTCTTTTTGGGTCTTACTTAAGGAATAAAAATACAACTTTAATGTGAAGAGAAATTAGATTTCACATCTCACTATTCTATTAGATAAATAACATGTAGATGATTATGTTATATTTATATGTACGTTATTTATTCAACAGAATGAAACAATATACAAAAACATCATTTTTTATTTTTTTTGTCGTGTTGCAATTAACTACAATCATTAGAATGAAATATGATTTTATCGGTATAATTGGTTTGATCTTTTCCAAATCTTTATGTTCATGGCTATTCCTATATTCAATCAAATTTGGGTTAAAATTTTTCAAATAATTATAATTAATGTATCACGTGGTAATTTGCAGATACTGGCCATGGACATTAACAGAGAGAATTATGAATTGGGACTCCCTGTAATAGAAAAAGCTGGTGTTGCTCACAAAATTGACTTCAAAGAAGGCCCTGCTTTGCCCGTTCTTGATCAAATGATAAAAGAAGTAAATCTCAAACCCAAACTTCTCCTCATTTTGTAATCTCATATAATTTATGGATTTTATCTCGAATTTGACTAATTATTCGTACAATATCTCTTAGGGAAAGTACCATGGCACTTTCGATTTTATATTTGTGGATGCCGACAAAGATAACTACATCAACTATCATAAGAGGCTCATTGAACTGGTTAAGGTTGGAGGTGTGATCGGCTATGACAACACCCTATGGAACGGGTCTGTGGTGGCACCACCTGATGCCCCATTAAGGAAATATGTTAGGTACTATCGAGATTTCGTGCTCGAGTTCAACAAAGCCTTGGCAGCTGATCCAAGGATTGAGATCTGCCAATTGCCCGTGGGTGATGGGATTACCTTGTGCCGCCGAATTAATGTCAGCTCACTTTAACTACCATGTTTTCAAAATTATCAACTTGTCTTTTTCCATTTATGGGATTTGAAATTTGTGTTGTGCTTGATTGTGGATGGATTAAAATAAATATAATTAAAAAAATGAAATGTACCCTAAATATTTGTTTATTTCATCTAAAGTTGCAATAATTTTTATTTGTTAAGATATTCATCTTTATCTTTTAAGTATACATATCACCATGTTTCATCACAATAGCATGGTCTATGTATGTGAAATAAAGCCCAAAAAGAGTAACGTTTGTAGGTTACAAGTCCATATGCAATTTTCGTTGAAATTTTTATTTTCATCTTTGTTGGAAAATTTACCGTTGGAATTGTCAAAATCCAACGGAAATTCTAATGGAATATTTTTATTGGAATTTCTGTTAGAATTCCATTAAATTATATTTGTATTGGAACTTTCCGTTGAAATTTCATCATTTTGTTGTAGTGTACTACAACAATGAATCATTGGAAAATGGGATGCAAATTTGCAATCACAAAAATCTAATATAAATTCTATTAAAACATTTTATTTTTACATCAGGCAAATCTAATGAAAGATAATAAATTGAGAGGTGGAATACGACTATCAATGATTTGCTTATCTATTTTACAAACACAAATTTTGATATGTGGTGGTTTAACCATTAGACTAATCGGCATCTCGTATATATATATTTTTATAGATAGATATTTTGGCATTTTTTTTATATAGATATAAATATTTATTAAAAAAATTGCGTGTGACTTATTATTAGGCCTCAGATAGCCTACCATTTGACAAATTAGTTGGTTTGGAATAGGCCTCAAGTAGCCTTACCATTTAATTGTTCTAGCACAATGTAGGCAAAGTAGTTAAAAATCAATTATATGGTTTAGCAATTGGCACAATCTAGCCAGAGTGTCTGATCTATGTTTGAATATTTTTCTACGTCCGACTCTATGTAAATCTAGGCCTTTATAATTTTAAAATATATACATACACATATGCATAATATATAACTAGTATGACACCCGTGTACTACACGGGTTGTTTGGAAAAAAAATATAAAATATAAAATAATATAAAATATACATGTTGTCATATAAAAGTGCAAGAAAAGAAAATATCAAAGTCAAATATTATTTCAAATTTTGAAAAATTTCTTTGTACACAACATTAATGGTTTTATTTATAATCTTTTCATCCTTATCGCAACACAGAATTTTCAAGCATCTCTTACTTTTAACTCTAGATAATGCAACATAAAATATATGCCTATTGTTATTCGTTAAATCCTTATATATCATAATTATTGGATTAATATAATTTCAAGCTATTGATAAGGATTTGATTTGTTATCTTTGTATTTAATTTAATAATAAATATAATTTTGGATCTCTTTTGTAATATCTTCATATTTCGATATGCACCATCTCGAAATGGTCGATTGAATTTTTCCACCCTATAAGAATATAATGAAATTCGTAAATTCGTTTAATATTAATAAATTTCACTTTATTCACTTTATAAAACTAATGAGTGTAAATATTAGTATCGTGTATGAATTTCATCATATGAATAGTAGCATCTCATGTTTAGTGTCTGTAATTGTTTCATAAGCTTCGGCTTTTGGGTAAACCCATCAAAAAGATATTATGCATGGATATAAGGTTTTAATTTAATAGCTGATGCATGTCTCATGAGCATTAATTAATTACATTAATTAGATTGATTAATAAACATTTAGTATGTGAGTATATTAACACGCCATAACGAAGAAAGAGGTTTAAAGACCCTCAGACAAGGACAAACATATATGATCACGGATAATTTAAAATCACAGTATCTTAATGAAGTCGGTAAAAATTATGGAGATTGTGTCATGTACTTTTTTGTCTAAGACACAAATCTCCATTGCAACACGATTTTCAGGTTGGTTCTTGTCATGTTTGAACCATACACGCTCACAACGGACACATATTTTCCATGTTTCTTTAGCCGATGTTATTTCTGCAATTGTGTTGAAAACAGTTGTCATGGTAAATTCAATTTTTGTAAGATGAATAATTGAGATGAAGGGGAAATGAGAATGAAAGCAAAAATAAGAATCACAATAGACGGCCTTAATATTAATACACGTACAAAATTAATATATTATAATATTAAGTTATTTATTAGGGAATGTATTGTGAAAGCAATAGGATTAACGAATCCATTAATACACGAACACGGCAAATATATAAGATATCATACAGTGAAGATAAGCATTATAGTAAATTGGATATCTTACCGTGAAGATAAGCATTATAGTAAATTGAGCCAGTAAATAAGACGGCAAAATAATATATTATAATATTAAGTAAGCAATCCGATTAATACTTGGGGGAAACGTATATCATTATAATATTAATTAAGTTGCAATTCCATTAATAGACGGCAAAAGAATTAGGGGAAAACACGGCAGATTAATAGACGGCAAAAGAATTGGGGGAAAACACGGCAAAGTTAAGCAAAATAATATAATTGTATTAATTTTTATCCGAACCAAAGTTTTTATCCGAACCAAAAACCGAAGCATGTAATATTGCCAAGTAAGCTTCCGAAGCGTGCGAGCCAGCCATTTAGGCTCGACACGTTTTCAAATTATATTAAGAGGGAATATTTTATTTACATTTATGAATGTATACAAGATCAAGTATCATATTACTAAAAAAAAAAAATTACCATATTACTAAACTTATGATAATTTTTATGTCCTATCATAAACATCATATGCCAATACAAACTTATTTACACCAAAGGACCAAAAATATCCTTTTCAGATAACGAGTATAAATAATATAGTGGATATGAATTGTTTTGCCAAAAATGAATCGTATTAATGGGATATGCTCCCCTACCCCCGGTGGGTAGGGAATTAATATGCCCACTGCTTATATGGCATGTACACTTTTGGCATAAGCAGTGGGAGAGAATTAATATGCCCAATGTGTACATGCCACATAAGCGGTGGGCATATTAATTTCCTGCCCACCATGGGTAGGGGAGCAGATCCGTCGTATTCATTCCTAAAGCCATTTTTTTACTAAAATATGGCTAATTTGAATAGGCTTGTTCGCCCTCTCTCTCTCTCTTCGATAGGAAAAATTTCCCCAAATCCAACAGTCATTCTCCACGGTTTTCCTGGCCTCCTCTCAACCGGGGGCCCCGGTCCACTGTGGGGCTGACGTGCACCGGTTGTTCTCCGTCCTCTCTGTCTTGTTTCGACTCTTGTTCTCGGAGCGTTGCTTATCACTGAGATGGGTGACTGCGACGAGACATTCAGATGACTTGGCGGCGTGGAGGTGGAGCGTCAGTAGCTTCACTGGTGGTGGCCGGAGCTTAGGTCGGTGCATCTCTTGTCCCCTAAACCTTGTCCGTTTTCCCTTGGGTTGGGATCCGACGCAATTGCTCATCATACTGGAAGAAACATTACGAAATTGCTCGTCGTGATTGTTTGATGTAGAAGGAAAAAATTTATCATTCGTCCTTATACTTTTATGATGAAGAATTCTTTTTTTTTTTNAAATTCTCCAGATGCAAACTTTCAATCTCTTCCTCAGTTGGAACAACGTTTGAGAGCTATATAAACAAAAAAACAATCAACATTAAAAAAAACATATAACAAGATAAAATATAATAATTAAAAAATAAATAAAAAACTATGAATAGAAACTTGGTCAGAACGAAGGGTGTAAAACTTTCGAACTAGGAATTCTTTGTCAACTGAATTATCAGCCTTCGACTTCAACATCCGAGGTATTGTGGAATTCAAATTATCAACTTTAATATAAATAAGGCCAGGCGCATGATTACAAATTTCATAAAACCACCATTGACACTTATTATAAACTAAAGTCGTAGTGGTAGAAATCTTTCAAACAATATGCGAAATAAAGTAGTCAAAGATCTCTTTAATTTAAGGATAATCGTTACAATCTTCACTATCAATGATAGGAAGATAGTTCCGATATAGAACATAAGGCTCATTATCCATCTTATAATTGGCAAGAAAATGGTGGATAGCAAGTTTGGCAGCATCATTGTCATTCGACCAACTCCGAGATAAAAATTTTATACGAATAGTTTCTAGGTTAAAACGACCAATAGATGCAAAATACTTATTGAATAAACCATCATCAGAATCCTCATACAACAATTTATGAGCAGATCCAACACACTTAAGACCAGTAAGAAAAGAGAACTCCCCGATTCCAAAAGGCATTATCTTTCCACAGAAATCAACCCATATTTCTTCAAAATTTTTATGAAAAACTTGTCTAAGAAGAACTATATGCACAAGCTGCGGCTGTATAATACAATATAGTTAATTAAGTTAACTATAACAAGTAATAATCTCTCTCCTCTCTCTACCTTTCTCTCTCTAAAAACTCTCACCTTATCTTCTTCCATCCTCCATCCCTACCACCCACTTTCCCCAACCACCGCCTCCTCCGCCTAGCCTCACGTCGGCTGCCGTTTTCTTGTTTTTTTTGCCTTTTTTCGCAGTCATGTCCCGCAATCCTTTACCGGCACCGACTTCATCTCCGGCAGTCGCTTCTTTGTCAGAATTGGAAGCTTCACTTTCCCAGCCATCATTTAAGATAGGCCTCCTCAAGCTCTTGCAATCGTCTACCTCAAACTTGGAGGAGGGAGAAATTCTGTCCTCGGTCTCCGACAGATCTGGCACATTCGCATTCACCGCCCAAGATCCGCGACAAATGATAAATCCCTCGTCTCTGCCTGTCTCCGCGAAGTCCGGGAACCCGATGATTGGTCAGCAGCCAGCACCTTATTGCCAGGTGACCTTTGGTTCTTTGCCGCCGGGTCCTCTCCATTTTCAGGCCTCCACGACAATGTCGAACTTTCTCTAGATCCCGCGTGGCGGCTGCCCTAACCCACAGTTCCCCATTGGGCCACCTCAGAGAACTTTATCTGCTCCAAATTTATGTCTTATTGGGCCTCCCTTGACAGCCCAACCCACTTCTCTCAACAACCAACCAGCCCGCCCCACTTCTGCTCCAAAAAATGTGGTCAGGAGCACATTTTTTGGTCTCTGGGGAGGGGGAGGTTAGCTTTTGGGATGAGTGGTAGTTTAGTGAGGGCCCCCTTTCGAGCTCTAGACAGGTCACCCACCTTCCCTTTCTACAGGTGAAGGACCTGTGGACGGAGGGGAGATGGGATAGGAATAGGCTAGAGAGGATTCTGGGTATTGGAGCGCGCCTTAGTGATCAGCTGATAGATGGGATCCAGCAGATTCCCATCTCGGAGGACGGTTTGGACGGTATGAGGTGGAGGCTTACATCTTCGGGTGCATTCTCTACGACCTCGGCTTGGGGGGAAGTACGACAGGGTGACCAGTCTAACCTTCTCTTCGGGGCCATCTGGACTGACCTACTTACCCCTACAATATCTGTTTTTCTTTGGCGCCTCCTTTTGCGCCGCCTACCGATTGACATTGTGATGCAGACGAGAGGGTTCTCCTTCCCCTCGCGTTGCTATTGTTGTGCCGAGTCTGGCGATTTTCAGACAAAGACCTTTACCCACATGTTTTTAGAGAGCGAGACTGTGAGGAGCGTTTGAGAGCATTATACCAGTTACACTCATATCCCCCTACCCTCCACAAATACATTCTTTGAGATTCTGAGTTTTTTCAGACACCGCACACACACTAGACACGTGACCTTTCTTATTCCTTGTCTGATCCTTTGGGTCACCTGGACAGAAAGGAATAACGCGAAGCATAGGGGTAACCCTTTTTTGTCTTCTCATATTATTTTGCAGGTTGACCGACATCTTTCCCTCCTCACCGCTTTGGGCAGACTCACCTAGAGAGACTGGACAGGCTGCACGCCACCTCACCGCCTTGCACCACCTCCGCTGGTGCCTGTCAGCATCCACGTCCTAGAGCTGTTGTTTGGCTGAAACCCGAGTCGCCTTGGGTTAAGCTAAATACTGATGGAGCCTTTGATCGACTTACTGGAGTTGTAGGGATCATAGCGGCGTTCTTATTGCCGCGTTTCATGCCCTCTTCGGGCCTCCTCGAGTTATGACGCGGAGGTTCAGGCGCTTCAGATCGGCCTACAGATTGCCGCCTCGATCTCCTCTCACATTTGGATAGAGTTGGACGCGGCCGCTGTCATCACTCTTTTGTCATCTGGACATCAGGGCACGTGGCAGATCCAACATCCTCTCATGCGTATCAGAGCCACTCTCCAGTCGATTCGCTCCCGAATCTCGCACATCTTCCGCGAGGGGAATCGGCCAGCTAACTTCCTCGCTTGCATCGGGTCCTCAACCCCCCCACAGACGCATTCTTTATCCTGACGACATTTCTATCCGCCTCCGCACCCTCATACGGATGGACCAGATGGGATACTTTCAGATTTGTGTAGCTGGACCTACCTTTTGGCGCACCCGCCATACTGTGATGCTGACTTTCTAACCGGGACTACCCGATGGAACATGATCTGTTATTTTTATATTTCTCACTGCAGTTGTCAGCTTTTCTCTGTATTTTTCTTTTCTTAGTTGTTTTTGGTTTTTCATTTGACTGGATGTATATCAGACATTGGCCTTGTAGCTTTGTGACTTTTCGGCCCATTTAGGGCATTTATATACAGGTTGGGGGTTCTGCCTTAACCCCCACCCTACTCGGGTGTTGGTTTTTTTTTTAAAAAAGAAAAAAGTTTCCAAAGCATGATTTTTTGAGGATTTCAAGTTGAGATTCAGTCAACATACTCCTAATCGTTTCAATTGTCCATAAAATTAAAATTGAGTAGCCCACAACCAATATTAATTGAATCTTTTACTAAGAGATCCCATTCCAAAAAAAAAAAATGAAAAGTCCAGAAAATAATTCACCGTACTAATTAAAAAAATCATCAAAAGAATACAGACTATGTGGAATCAGATTGTCTGTGAATTGAGAATGCTTCTTGACATAAGATTTCTGACGTTTTAAGTCGTTCTTCATGAAATCACTCTCAAAACGAGAACCATTAGCGTTCTTGTTCGATTTTTAGGGTTCATAAAAACCCTAATTGAAGAAACGTTATCGTCTTCTGATACATAATTCTAGGAATCACTTGATTCTTCACTCTAAACCGAATCAGAAAAAAAAAATCTGATGAAGAAATTTCAATATTATTTTTCCCTTTCTCTTGAACTTTTTTAAAATCACGCCTTGTCGGACTGGCTTTGACAAAAACTTTTCTTTTTTTAGATTTATTCATGACACCCGCAATTTTTTGACCTGCAGCACGAGTTGTGACCATTTAAATCAAAGAACAAAAAAAGAAAAAGAAATAATAAGGACAGAAAAATAGAAACTGAAGAAGAAGACGACGAAAGATTGTGACATTGTTTTTTGCAATGAAGTGTCAGATATTACCAATGTTTGTTTTTTGCACTGGTTTTGTCAAAAACTGACAAGGACCGACCGTTAGAACCGGGGTCGGGACAGGAAACCGGTCCGGGTTAAGCTATGGGACCGGCGAGGCTACAAACCGGCAACAAACCATTCGAACAGGCCTGAAACCGGTTTGAGTGGTTGGGCAGGTTGAATTTCCTCCACTAAACAGTTCTGCTTAAGCAAGCTGAAGCTATCAGTTATATACCTTACACTTTTTCAATGCTTTTCCGATGTGGGATAGTACACAATTAAATGTTTTGTTGAACTATTGGGCCGATTTGGGCTTTAGATAAAAGGTAATGTGATCACTTATAATTGTCTTGTTCAATTATTGGGCCTGACATGTGTAGGTAATGTGATCAAAGCTAGAAATAAAACATTAACACGTGCTGAGTGACTTCTTTCGTCATGTATAATATATTAAAATGGTTCTTTGATGATTTTTTTATTTTCAATATTATAATAAAATCCTCTTCTCCTTATCTTTCTTTATATGTGTCTAATGANGCACTATTCAACATGTCGGCTTTATCTATTATTGAACTCTTATTTAGAAAAATGTCATTATACACTATAAAATTAATGATTAACATATAAAAATTATATATTATATATATAAAATAAATAAAAAATTATATTAGTTAAAACGGTTCGACCGGTTCGACCACTGGTCCGACCAGTGAACCAGTGAACCGGTAGCTTAACCGGTTCGATGGTCGGTTCAGTTTTGACAACCTTGGATATTACGTATCGCTCACAAAAATTAGAATTTAATTAAAAAAAGGGTCATATTTTTTAAAACTTATAAACGTCCACAAAAATAGTATAATTGAAAACAAAAGAAGTAATATTGTATAAATAATATGTAGGGTATGAATGTAAAATTTTAAACAAAGAGAAGGGATGTCGTTTTTTCTCCTCAAATCAATCCATTTATTAATTTGATCTTACCAATCAAATCCTTGAAGTCCCAGGCCCAAACCCAATTTACAGCTTCTGAGGTCCAGATGTTGTAATGCTTACCCAAAATATGAAGCCCAAACTCTAGCCCAACACAAAACCAATTAAATGTATGTAACACAAAAAATAATACTGAGCGCTGGTTTTTCGGTCATTTCCAACAAAAACCCTAATTCCTTCTATCCAAAGCCCCCAACATATATATTCTCTTCCCAATCAGTTTCACAGCTTCCTACTCACTGAATTAGGTTTTACTCCGCCGTGTAGAGAGAGAGAGAGAGAAGCACCACCGTAACCATGGCGGCGCCAACTGAATCCGTCCAATGCTTCGGCCGCAAGAAAACCGCAGTCGCGGTCACCCACTGCAAGCGCGGCCGCGGTCTGATCAAGATCAACGGTGTACCGATCGAGCTGATCCAGCCTGAGATCCTCCGCTACAAGGTGTTCGAGCCGATCCTCCTCCTCGGCCGCCACCGTTTCGCGGGCGTTGACATGCGCATCCGCGTGAAGGGCGGCGGTCACACCTCCCAGATCTACGCCATCCGCCAGTCCATCTCGAAGGCCCTCGTCGCCTTCTACCAGAAGTACGTCGACGAGCAGTCGAAGAAGGAGATTAAGGACATTCTCGTGAGGTACGACAGGACCCTGCTGGTGGCCGACCCGAGGCGCTGCGAGCCGAAGAAGTTCGGTGGGCGCGGTGCTCGCGCGAGGTTCCAGAAATCCTACCGTTGAGATATTGGTAGTGGTTGTTCTATTACAGTTATGGTCAGAAGTATGTGTCTTTTTATTTTTGTCGTACTGAATTGAAGTTGGGATAATGCGTTTTTGTGATTTCGAATATTTTATTTTCATTTTGCTATGCTTTTATGAATTGTCGTGAGAATTTGGAACCTTTTGAGCTGTAGGTGTTAAACTCTGGTTAAAATTATGATATATGCTCCATTTGAATTTGGTTTAGCTGCAATTCAATGTTTGTTTGTTGTTGAGTCATTAATCATTATTTGTTGTCTTGGTGGAATTGTTTAATGTTTGCGATGGCTGCATGATCTTGAGGTCTGTATTGTGATTTGTTATGAACTCGTATTTAATTTCTATTGCCATTATATTTATAGTTCAGTTTTTATTAGATTGATATTTTG